ACTTTTAACCCTCACCTACACGAATAAAAGAAAATCCTACTATTATTTAACAAAAAAAAAAGTAGGCAAGTCAATGAAAAAGTCTAGAGGATATTTCTTGGAAGATGCATAGCAAATGGGTAAAAACTTATTTTTAACTTTTTATTTTAATAAATTTATAGGTTTTAACCCCTTAACTTATATTGTAACACTTTTAATCCTCATCTACACGAATGAAAGAAAATAACCTTTCGTTAAAGTGAGATTAAAACGTTCGTCAACTGATAATTAACATTTCATTAACAATCAATTGATTGACTATTAACCGTGATAGGGATAGAGCTAACAAAATATTAATAATTAGTTGACAAGTGCTATAATTTGATATTAGGTAAGGTTTTTTTTTTAATAAAAGTAAAAAGTTAAATATATCATCATATAAAATATGGAATTAAAACTTACAAATTTATTAAAGTAAAAAAATAAAAGTAAGTTTTTGTACAACAAGTACCACTGGAATGAATAAACAAATAGTCAAAAGATATAGTTGACATTCACGCTGACACTAATTACCGAAGCATAACCCAAGTTTTGACCCGCTGGCAAGAGCAAACCATTTAAATAAAATATTATAAAAAATTAAATTTATAAAAAAATAAGTAAAAAAATTTTAAAATCATATTATTTTAATAAAATTTTATAAAAAAATTAAAATATAATTATTTTTATTTTAAAAAATAATTTTTTTTATTTTTTAATAAAATTTTATTAAAATAATACAATTTTAAAATATTTGTATCTATTCTTTCTATTTTAGAATAACTATTTATCAACCCATCTTCTATGCATTTTTTTTGTTTGAAATATCATTACCCTATCCGAAAATATCTTTAAAATTTGATTTCGAACTAGGTTTTTTTTGCCCATGCGGTTGCACGAGTTGTTCAATTACTTGTATTAGAACTTGTATTTTGCACTATTTTTTAGTTAGAAGATTCTAAGTAAATGATTAAAGTTTTGAAATTACCTGGTAATTGGTAATTGTACTTTTTTTTTATAAAATTGTAGAAAGCCACATTAAAAAAAGACAGAATATTAAGAGAATTCAAAAAATATTCAATATTAATTTTTATCTTATAATCCAAATAAATCCTTTCTTTTTTTTAAAATAAATCTCATAGTATCAATTATCTTACACCCTTCATTTTTATCAATCAAATGTATATTTTCCTTTAACTAGATATATGTTTCAATTTGTTATATTCTTTCACTATCTATTTGATTTATAAAACTAATAATTTTAATCTTTTGCATACTTTTTATAACATGTATTAATATCACTTATGTTAAGAATGTTTTTGTTTCTTTGCACTAGTTTTAGTTTTAAATTATATTAATTACTATTTATAATACATTTAATACATTTTAAAATATAAAATTATTATGTCATTAAAATCATATAATAAACAATTATTAATTGTAAGTTAATATAAATTACTTAGTAAATCTTAATTAAAACTTTCTAACCACTATATTGTGTTTATCTATTCTTTATTGTATTCAATCAATCTCTAGTCTCTAGGTTAGTATTAAGGTATCATCAACTCATCCTAAAAAATTAAATTATAGAAATAATAGCTTTTCATTTTCAATTATCATTATCATTCATTATGGTATCATAATTTTAATTGTGGTTATGTTTTTTAATTAATTTATTAATAAATCCTAATTAAAACTTTATAACCATTCTATATCTTTTGTTTTTCCCTTCTTTATTGTATTTTATTTCTCTCTGGTCTCTAGGTTACTATTAGAATTGTAATATCCCAAAATTTTGTAATATTTTAGCACTTAGTTAAGGACTTGATTGTGAGGAAATATTATTCTGGGACTTAATAGCTAAAATATTTGAACTTGAGGGACTTAAAGAGGGAAAATTGGATAAGGACCGGCTGAATTTCCTTTTTCTTCTTCATCACACGCGGGTTGCTCATTTCTTCTTCATTCTGCAGCTCCCGACAGCCCCCCAAGCCCCTCCAGCCACCGACTCATTTCTTTGAGAAAATTGGTGACAAAGCTTGAAATTTCTCCTTCTTTCTTGTTCAATCACAATATTTGGGGCTTAGAACTCTCTAAACCCAAAAATTTCCAGATCTGTTCTTCTCTGCGTCTTCCTCCCTTTGCTGTCCGTGAATTGCTGGTGGGTGGGTGGCGAAATTTTCAGGTTTTTTGGTAAGAAGCAGTTCGAAATTCCTCTTTTCTCACTTGATTTGGCTTGGGTTCACTCTAAGCTCTTTTAATTTCTTTCAATTTTGGGTAGTTTGTGTGATTGCCCTCTAGGATCCCGTCGACTTCCTCACCAGGCAAGCCCGGTTTCTGCTGGCTGGAATTCTGGTATGGATAGTTCCAAGTCAAATTTATCAATTAATTGCTGCTTGTGTTGTTGAATTTAAATCATCTAGTGGTTGCCCCTACACTGTCCGAATTTTGCTGGAAAAATGGGGGAATTTCGGTAGCTTTAAGTGGGTTTTTTTTGTTTAATTTAAGCGGAAATGAGCTTGAGTAGTTGCTGTAAATTTCTGGAAAAAAAAGAGTAATCCCGTGACTTGTTGATTGCCAAAGCCGGTTCCTCCATTGTGTTTTTAGCTAAATCATTATATATATATATATATATATGTGTGTGTGTGTGTATTTGTATATATATATGTATATGTGCACAACCTGATTTTAGTGCTCAATTTTCGGAAAGTAGGAAATAAAATAAAATAAGAAAATAAATATTGCATTATGGGGGTTAATTACCGGCAATATTAGAAAGGATTAACTATGTAGTTTTTATATGGGTATTAATTTTTGAATATTTGATTAGGTTCGTGATTATTTTGTCACTCGAGCACTTGGCTTGAGTTTCCAATTTTATGCGATTTGTGGTAAGTAAATTATGGTAACGTTGTCACGCCCCAAAACCCGAATTCGAGGCGCGACAGACGCCGTGCACTCGTAAGAGGATCTCATAAATGCACAAGGCTCGGAACTTATCAAATTCACATCGACAATCCACAAAATCTGATGATGAAATCATAAAATTTGCTCTCGTATCATAAATCTCCAATAAAGTCGAGTTTACAAGATCATGGTTTATTTCTAAAATTTCATATCACTCTTGAAATGGCTAGCCTTCTAACTCGTCACTTCCCGTGGTTTCCCTGTCCTCAATTTCGCTTCCTGAAATGGTGGATAAGGAAAAACTATGAGATAAACTAAGTAAAATATGGATTGCTCCTTATTAAACTTATAGCATGCCAACAAGTGTAATCACAAAAAACAGATACAGTACGGGAACAAAATAGATGTCTCCTCTATAGGTCACGGCCAGTGTTATAAACCTTCCATTGACAGGTACATGATTTACTAGTGTATAATCCCACTAGCAGGATAACAGAAATGAATCGGTTCTATCAGTAACATGTCGACATGTGCTAGCGTTTATAAACCTCCCACTAGCGGGCACACAAATAACATGACCATATCGGAGACAAAACGAGCAGAAGTTAACAGAAAAATCACAATTCACCATCACTTTCAAATCATCAGGACAATCAATTAAATTTCAAGTAGGTATGCTCAAATCAATAAAAAGAATAATAATTTTATTTCAAATCAATCATGCTCATTTTTGTATTAAACGGGTTTAATCCGGTCACCACTTCAAAAACAAATCAAAACATGCTTTTAAAAACTGTACGGACATTATCATAAATTACTTATCTCACTCGCATAAAACCGAGCACTCAATCTCAGTGCTAACTGACAGAACGATCGGGAACTTAATCAAAATATTTCAAAAATTAATTCCGCACTACCACAAATTCAAATTGAAATCATCAGTAGAATCACTCCTAATCACGATGCTATTCCTATCAATCTCCACATAATCAAATATTTCCAAATTCGTTCTTATATCACAAACTAAACATTTAAATCCCCGTTAATTGTTGGCTCTCAGTGTGTGAACAGTGTCCATGAACAGTGTCGTGAATAGTAACCACGATGTGAACAGTAACTCCCACTTCCAAAATTGGCCAAAACACTAGCTAATTTCACGGGATTTTCTCTCCAAAAATCACAGCAATCAACTCAAGCAATTTACAATTAAATTAAGCAACAAAACACACTTAAAATGCTCTTAATTGCTATTGAAATTCCTCCCTATTTTCTGTAAAATTCGGACATCACAGGGGCAGCCAATCCATGGACAAAATTCAACAATTAAAGGGGTAAATTGGGACTTAGAGAAGCTGCCACATAATCCAGCAAGCAAAACTGGAGTGCAGATTGGGGAGGAGGCCGACTGCAAGTGCAGGGGACTCACGGGGCTACCAAACTTAAAGGAACCAAGAGCAATTAAGGTAAACTCAAGGCAATTCAAAGCTAAAGGGAGATTCATGGCTGTTTCTTACCCAAAATCAGAGTAATTCACCCCCACAAACAAGAGCAGTCGGCGGACAACAGAGGGAAGAGCAAAGCAGATCTGGGGTTTTCCAATGGGGGGGAAATTTCTGGGTTTCAATCTGTGTTTTAGAGCAAGAAAGGAAGGAGAAATCAAGCCTCCTTACCGGTTTCTCAAAGGCTGGTGCCGGGTCCCTTTTTTTTTTTCTCTCGAGTTGCAGACAAGAAGAGCAGACACGAAATGGCTGGGGAAGAAGGAAGAAAGAAAGAAAAAAAAAAGAAAAAGAAAAGAAGCTAATCTTTATCCAAATTTTGCCTCTTTAAGTCCCTCAACTTTTGAAATATTCACATTAAGCCGCAAAACAATTATTTCTCACACAAACCCTTAAATGATAAATTTCCCAAAATTTTGGGATATCACAAACGTCCTTCGATTTTAAAGCATATTTTAGCTTGTTTTTGAAGTGGTGGCGGAACTAAACTCATTTTATACAAAAATAAGTATGATTTGAAATGAAATTATTATTCTTTTTATGGATTTGAGCATGCCTACTTAGAATTTACTTGACTGCCCTGATGATCTGAAAATTATTTGTGAATTATGATTTTCTTGTTAACTTCTGCCTGTTTTGTCTCCGATATGGTCATGTTATTCGTGTGTCTGCTAGTGGGAGGTTTATAAACGCTAGCACATGTCGACATATTACTGATAGAATAGGTTCGTTCATGTTATCCTGCTAGTGGGATTATACACTAGTAAATCGTGTCTGCCAGTGGGAGGTTTAAAATGCTGGGCATGACCTATAGAGGAGACGTTCATTTCATTCCCGTACAGTATCCGTTTTTCTTGATTACACTGTTAGCATGTTATACGTTTAATTAAAGGCAATCCATATTTTACTTACTGAGTTTATCTCATAGTTTTTCCTCCTTCACCATTTCAGCTAGTGTGACCCGAGATGCGGGAAACAAGGGGAGTGACGAGCTAAATAGCTAGCTATTGTATTTGGATATAGATTTTGACTTTAGATTATTCTTTGTAAGTTAGATTCATTATTTTGACCTTAAGTCATGTTGGACATAGAATTATTTTGAGATATTTGATTTAAGTTATTGGATTTTCAGATATGAATTAAATAAGTTTCGAGTTTTGTGCATTCGTGGGACCCGTTCATGAGTGCACGGCGTTTGTTACGTCTCAGATTTGGGTTCTGGGGCGTGACAAGAATCTACACTAATCTTAAAAAATTAAATTATAGGAATGGTGACTCTTCATTTTCAATCATTATTATCATTCATTTTTTGTATTAAAATTTCTTTTAATTTCATTCACTATTAGTTTTAAATTATAAGAATTATAGTTCTTCATTTTCTATCATCATTATCATTCACTAAATCCTAATTAAAACTTTCTAACCATTCAATACTTTTTATTTTTTCATTCTTCATTGTATTCTATCTATCTCTAATCTTTAGATTACTATTAGCATACAAACTGATTCTAAAAAAATAAAGAATTAAATTAAAGTTATGGGCATTCATGAATGTATGAATGCAAATACAATACTACAAAATAAAGCCTACTTCCAACCTCCTTTCCAAATTTATGTTTCAATTTTTATTTATGCACCAAAATCCCAAATAATTGGCTTCTGACATTAGTAACCCCATGATTTCTTACAATCTAGAATATCAAATTTATCTCCAGTTTCATTATTTTGGTTTTATTCACGATTAATTAGGGATTATGATAGACATTTTGTAGAGGATTATATCAATTTTGTTCTGTCTATATTGTTCTTTTACTCTTTCCTAAAATTAGAAGGAACAATTTTTTTTTCAAATTTTAATCATAATATTATAGTTAATTTGGTGCCCCTCCTTGCTTTAGAATCTTTAAATTTAGAGAATATGATAAAAAATAACCTAAAATTTGTGATAAAAAACTATTAGTTAGACATCTTAAGTATAGATCAAAACCAAATAAAACTATACTTAGAAATGATATTAATATATCTAAACCAAATGTTAGTTTATTAACTTGATTTAGATTAATAACATAGGTGAGAGCTTTTATTAATTAAAAAGTATTATCAATCAAAACACTTACTTTTGGGGCGTGGAGATTTTAGTTTCATGATCTTTTATAGGCTTTGAAAATGAAGCTTAAGAGTTCTAGCTGTTACAAAATTTTATTTGGATTTAATACTAAAATTTAAATGTAATTAAGATAAATAATACTTTAATAAATAGTTGTTGAATGTAAGAAGTTTTATATGCACGTTAAAGTTTAATTGGGTTTTCACGGGAAAGAGAAAACAAAAAGTCACATTTTCTTTTTCTTTTTTGATTTAGGCGCTTGTTTAGTATAATAACTAAAATTTAGCAGATAATGGATAGTGAATA